GAATGTCCATCGATTTGAGTCGAACTTCTTGCGAGGTTCGAGACGAGCTCGAGTCGAACTGCAGTCGATGTAGATTCTGGACTCTCGGGCCCGTGTCGGCGATGAATGGGCAATTGCGGGTCGATGCATCCCCACCTGAGTCTATCCCCCCTAACGTTGCCCCTGACCGCTGCGGTTCTCCTCATCCCCAATAGGTTTCCCCAATATCTAGACTATGGGCGGATTGATGTTTTCTATCCCGCCGATGCTCGTGTGTCTCGACATCTGGAGGGAAGCTTGGAAGCCCAGGGCCATCAAAACGGTCCCCTAGAAGGGGGTCGATGCCTCTGAGGCCAGCGGATTGAAAAAAACAAATCGATGGATGTCTGGGGGCTTCCCCGACAGGTCTCCTGGACCGGTCTCCTTCCTTCCTCCGCCCTCCCTCCCTTCCTCCCTCCGCCCTCCTCCCCCTCCTCACCACCCACTCCACCCACAATCTTCCTCCTCCTCCTCCTCCTCCTCCTCCTCCTCCTCCTCCTCCTCCTCCTCCTCCTCCTCCTCCGCCTCCTCCTCCTCCTCCTCCTCCTCCTCCTCCTCCGCCTCCTCCTCCTCCTCCTACTCCTCCTCCTCCTCCTCCTCCTCCTCCACCTCCTCCTCCTCCTCCTCCTCCTCCTCCTCCTCCTTCCGCCCTGATCACCCTCTTGCTTATCCTGCCCCTTCTCCGCCTGAGACGAGGAAGAGGGCGCCCGTCTTCCCTCTGCACGGCGCGTCCTCGACCTTCGCGCTGAACATCTCGATGTTGGCAGTCTCCTTCTCGACCGAGGCCTTGAGCTCGGCCACCTGACTGCGCTGTGCGGGGTAAACAAGATGGGGATAGGGGAACGAAGAATGACATTAACATAGAAGCTCGGAGGTCCACGCGGACCTCCGAGTTTGTATGTTTATGTCATCCTTCGTTCCTCTAAGAGGATAAACAGCAGCGGCAGGGGGGGGGGGAAAGGAGAGGGGGACGGCACAGTGGGGAAGCTGGATGATACAATCGCAAAAAGAAAATTCGAAGGTTTCTGCGGCAACGCATGGGAGCCTCCCATACCATCTCACTGGCTCTTGCGAATCGACGCTAGTCGACGTCAACACGATGCAAAATCGACGCGATATCGACGCCATAACCCTGTGTCCCTGATATTAAACCCGTGGGGGTAAAAAAGTTCGGGGTCCAGAGAGGATTATAAACGTTTCCCTGGAGATCGCAGCATGATGATGATGATGATGAGGATGATGAGGATGATGAGGATGATGAGGATGATGATGATGATGATGATGATGAAGATGATGATGATGATCCTGGGCGCCTCTCTAGATCCTCGCTCTGATGGTGCTTGGCGCTCCTCGAGAACTGGCATTTAAAGCCCCCCCTCCCCCGACCACATCTGCATTGGCCAGGGAAAATAAACTGTCAGTGCTTAAGGGGGGTATGACTTATAATCCGAGGCACGCGGTTATCGAAGCCAATAGACGCTAAATCGGCATTGTCCCATCGACTGTCAGACGACAGCGCATACTAACGCACTCCAACGACGGAATATCTTGTTGCCGACATGGTGGCGTGTTCTACATTGCCTTTGTTATCGGAGGCGTGAGGTCAGCGCACGTGGTCTCCGTAGCGACGATGTTTGATGGATGGCCACAGAAGGGCTAGAAGCCGATGTGTATGTGCGCGTACGAATATGAGCATGTGCTGCCACAACAAGCTCATATAAGTTTCTCCAATGTTGTATGACTACACACATGCACGAACGTTGCACCTCAATGTCAAATGACGTCAGGCGCTCCAAGCTTCACCAAGAACATTTGTCCTTACGAGAAACCCCGAAATGTATGCACGTCACGCTCAATCTGGCTGGCCAGAGGCGGCGACATGGCGAAAGAGGCAACACACTGGAGTTTTTCCAAAAACATCCTGGGAACCATATGAAACCAGCTAGCTGCTTACCTTGCCTTCCTCACCTGACCTCACGTTACCTTACCTGTCCTTCCCTTGCCTTACCTGGCCCTCCCTTACCTTGCCTTGCCGTACCCTACATTACGCGACATTCCCTTTGTATACCTTACTAGGCGTTGCCTTACCCTTCCTTTCCGCTCCTGACCGTACTTTGCCTTTCATTACCTTACGCTACCTTACCTTGCCCTACCTTACCTTACATCACGTGACCTCTCCTTCCACTAGCTTCCCTTTCCTTCCCTTCCCTTGCCTTCCCTTACGCTACCTTCCCTTATCTTGCCTTACTTTACCTTGCCTCAACCTCCCTACCACGTACCTTACATAGTCCAACCTACGCCGTTGGATGTGACACAAGGCATGGCCATGAGTGTGTCTACGGCCCAGGGCCACACTTCACACAGGACCGTGCCCGCTACAGGGCCACGTTCACCCCAGGGCTATAGATGGGCGCAGGGCCATGGCGGACCCAGGGTTGCAGACGCTGACGGGGCCACATTGGCCCCGAGGGCCGCAGACGCCCCAAAGGGCATAACTGCGCGTCCGGCCTCCGCCCAGCTTCCGCCGCCATGCGCCGTGGAAGCAATGTAAACTGTTCGATCACTCGATGGCGAAGCCCTTTCTGAAGCGCCCCTATCCGCCTAAAACCGATCACTGGCTTCCTTCCAGGGGTCCATCCTGAAACGAGTACCGGAGCGGGCCCAGCTGTGGCGGTGAAACGCCTCCGGGAGGCAAGAAACATGAAGAACGCCGGGGTGGCCACCGTTGACTCGACTGGCCCACCTCGCTGCCGATAAAAGAAAAAAACTACAACAAACAGAAGACTTCGGAGGCCCGCGTGGATCTCTTGGATCGGCGCTGGACTGTGCCCCCCTCCCCCTGGCGCGCGGAGCCAGGGGGTCCCAGCGCTGGTCCAAGAAATCCGTGCGGACCTCCGGAAAGTTGTAACTCTGTGCTGCATATCTTCCTCGAGCTTAAAATCTGGATGTCGGAGAAGGGTGTGGTAGAAAGAGGTGTGGCGCTAATCGTGGAGATGGCCATGTCATGGACGATGGACAACATCGCCGGATGCAGCAGTGGCACCACACCCCTTGACCACACCCCTTCCCGACCTCCAGACAAATAGAGGCCTCCTAGATGGGGTCGAAGTGGATGGGGCCGGAGGATCGCGCCAGATCGCCAGTGCATCGGCGATGCATCGGCGATGCACCAGCGACGCATCGTCGATGCCGGCGGTGCATCGGCGACGTCGGCGTGAAGCAAATCGGGCTCCACATCGAGCCGCGCCGGCGATGCATCGGCGATGCGGCGCGGCCCTCCGACCCCACCTGCTCCGACCCCATCGAGGAGGCCCAGATCTGGAGGCCCGGAAAGGGGCACCAACACCCACACAGGGGGCTGCCTCGAAAGGGGGAAGGTGGTTCTGGATTTCGGTGTTGGTAATATTTCGGCCACCTTGGAAGCCAGAATATGACCACCATCACCGGGAGCGGGATCTTCTTCCCTCGGTGGAGGCACACTGCCGATATTGGTGCTGGTGTCAACCTATAGGCCTGCGATAGACCCCCTACGTCCAGACCAAAGCATCTCTCAGGCGCGACAGCACAGGCCAGCCAGCAGGCAGGCGCGCGGGGGGGACGGCCAGCGCCTCCGCCTCGGCCGTCTTGATCTCGAAGCCGAGCTCGCGGGCCCGGTCCTCGCACCACTCGGAGAACTGGCGGGCCGCGCGCGCTGTTGCAGGGGTGGGCAGGGGGCGAGGCCAGGTGGGGCTCCTCCTCCTCCTGCTGCTCCTCCTGCTCCTCCTCCTCCTCCTCCTCCTCCTCCTCCTCCTTCTCCTCCTCCTCCTCCTCATCCTCCTCCTCCTCCTCCGCAGCAGCAGCAGCAGGGCAGGTGGGGCGGGAGCAAATTGGGGAGGAGGAAGGAGGGAGGAGGGAGGCCAGGGGTGCATGAAACAGAAGGGCGGGGACAGATTCAGTCATCGTGGCTGGTTCTTTTTTGTTCGGAGCGTGGGAGGCACCAGGTTGCACTCGGCACGTAATCGAGGTCCAATCGGACTGGCTTCCGAATCGACATCGGATCGGATAGATCGGATGATCGGAAACCTGGGAGAGATGGAGGGAGGACGGGCGAGGATGAGGACGAGAATCATTTTCCTGCTCCTCGTCGTCTTCCTCGCTTCCGTCCTGCCCCTCTCCCTCGACAAAGCCATAGCGCATCGTGAGTCCGACGCGCCTCGAGGCACTTGCGCCTCCTTCTCCTCCTCCTTGTCCTCCTCGTCCTTTTCCTGATCAGCAGCAGCAGCAGCAGCCATCAGCATCAGCATCAGCATCAGCATCAGCATCAGCATCAGCATCAGCATCATCATCATCATCATCATCATCATCATCATCAGCATCATCAGCATCATCAGCATCATCAGCATCATCAGCATGAGCATCAGCATCATCATCAGCACCATCATCAGCATCGTCATCAGCATCATCACCATCATCATCATCAGCATCATCATCACCACCATCATCATCATCAGAATCATCATCATAATATTCATCAGAATCGTCATCAGCATCATCAGCAGCAGCAGCATCACCAAAAAAAAATGTTCATCATCAGCATCATCAGAATCATCATCAGCAGCATGATCAGCATAATCATAATCATCCTCCTTCAAGCAAGCTTTTCCCCTTTTGGTCCACATGAGATGTCTGTTCTCATTGAGCTCACCTTAGGACACCTGCGTGATCATTTAACAGATGTGCCGCCCCAGCCAAACTCCGCACCTGACTATATCTTCCGCACAGATCAACCATCAAAAAAGACAACCTTAGATCCAAAACTCGCTGTGTTGCAAGTCTCAGTCCAACGGAATAAGTGAAATGACATTAAGAGCCTCCCTCCTCCCTCCTCTCTCTTCCCTCCTCCTTCCACCCTCCTCCCTCCTCCCTCCTCCCTTTTCCGTCCTTTTCCCTCCTCCCTCCTCCCTCCTCCTCCTCCTCCTCCTCCTCCTCCTCCTCCTCCTCCTCCTCCTCCTCCTCCTCCTCCTCCTCTCCTTCTTCGTATTAGTGTGCTTCTTCTTCTTATCAGCATGATTATTCTTATTATCCTTACGGTTATTCTTCTATCATTATTATTCGTATTACTTTTATTAGTATTACTAGTATTATTATTAAAAAGATTGTGAATATTAGCATTAGTATTATGTTCATATGTATTATTATCAATACTAGTATTAGTATCATTAGTATTAATATTGTTATCATTATTAGTACTATCAGTAGTAGTAGTAGTAGTAGTAGTAGTGGTAGTATTAGTATTATTATTCTTACTCTTATACTATTATGTTTCTTAGTTGTATGTTTCTTGTTAGTATTCCTCCTCCTCGTCCTCCTCCTCCTCATGTTATTATTAGTCTTCTTGGTATTATTAGTGCTATTACGATTTATTAGTATTATTATCAGCATCATCATCAGTATTGGTAGTATTAGTATTACTCATATTTGTACTGTGATTATTCGTCTTCGCATTATTATCCGAAGTAATAGTAGTATTGTTCTTATTCGTATTATTACTACTATTATTATTGTTCGTATCATTATCTTTATGTTTTTTATTATTCGCATTCTTCTGCTTATTAGTATTAGTATTATTATTATTAGTATTAGTATTATTAGTCGTAGTATTAATAGCATTCATAATATTATTATTAATGTTATTATTAGTGTTAGTAGTTTTAGTATTGGCACGAGTGTTCGTCTTCTGCGTCTTCTTAGCATTATTGTTCTTCTTCTCCTGCTTCTTGGTATTATTATTATCCGTCTCATTATTCTTCTTAATGCTATTATCATTAGTATTGTTCGTATTCTACGTATTACTATTATTCTTGTTATTATTAGTATGTTCATTATTCTTCTTATTATATTATTAATGTTTGTCCGTTTCCTTCCTCCTCCTCCTCCTCCTCCTCCTCCTCCTCCTCCTCCTCCTCCTTCTATTCCTCATTATCCTCCTCCTCCTTTTCCTCTTTCTCTTCCTCTTTCTCCTCCTTTTCCTGCTTTTCCTCCTCCTCCTCTTCCTCTTTCTCCTCCTCCTCCTCCTTTTCCTCCTCCTCCTCCTCTTCCTCCTTCTCCTCCCTTTCCTCCTCCTTCACCTCCTCCTCTTCCCTCTCATCCTCCCTCCTTCTCATCATGTCCCCCTCGCTCCGTACCTTCCCCCATCCTCTTTACTTCCATCCTCCCCCTGCACTCCCCCCGCCGATCTCCTCCGCGAACACCGCGTGGGACGCTTCGCCCTCGCCGATGACCTGACGGAGGAGATTCGAACTTCGAGAATCGAGGCTCGAAGGTTTAGATTCGAGGTTCTAGGACGTGTTTGGGCAATTTTCGGGCCGCTGGGGGGCTCCTCGTCGCCAAGGCTGGATCCACCCCGAAATCCTTGCCAAAACGTAAGTACCCCAGACCAGATCTGGCGGTGATGGGAGGGGTAGGGGGGGGGCAGGGTCACACAGCACCGAGTCGGGAAACCCACCTCGACCCTCGAGACGAAAACGTCCGAAATCCTCGAACCTCAAAGCCGAAGACTTCGAGCCTGACCTCGCCCCCTCCAGCCGCAAGAGTATCCTCGGGGGCTGGCGAACGAAATCGGCCGGGGATGGGCCGAGAAGGCGAAGATCAAGGGGCACCCTTGGAGAACCACGTCATACTCGTCATACGCGGCGACTACAAGATCCGTCAGCACCGAAGCTGGGAATCGCGTCGATGCGGAAGTTGCGCCGGCTCGGCCTGCATCGGCACGGAGTCGAAATCGAGTAGGATCGGCCGCGCGCGCGCCCGCAAGCATCGGGCCACATCAGATCGTCGAGATATACGAGAGAATGCGTTTCACGGGCGCTTGCCTTGGGAACATTCGGCGGCGCGTTTCGAACCGGGGGGTGGGCCCCCCCCCAACAGTCGGCGCCGTCGATCAAAACCAGGGGGACTCCCCTCCCCCCCAACCCACCCCCTCCCGAACCCCCCCCCTTCTCCCAAAGGGGGGGGGTTCAAACACCACCCCGGCGCCGGTGCCGGCGCTGGCGGCCGCCAGCAGCGCCGACGGCGGGGACGCAGCGACGATGACCAGAGGCAGCCCAGGGGGGGGGGTCCAAACCCCTCCCCCGGGGGCTGGGGAGGGGGGGGAGGTTCAAACACCCCCCCTGGAGCGGGCGCCGGCGCTGGCGGCGGCCGCGCTGGCGACGGCGGAGACGCAGCGACGATTACCACCACCACCGCCTCAACCCTCCACCACCACCACCACCACCACCACCACCACCACCACCAACCCACCACGCAACCACCACCACCACCACCACCACCGCCACCACCACCACAGCAACCACCACCACAACTCACCATCACCACCACCACCACAAAAAAAACATTACTTTTACCTCCTCCACCACCACCACACTCTACCACACCACGACCACCACCACCACCACCACCACCTCAACAACCACCACCACTACTAGCAGCACAACCCACCGCCACCACCACAAACCACCACACCACCACCACCACCGCCACCACCACCACCACCAGCACCACGCCCAAGAACCACCGCCACCACCACAGCCCACCACCACCAGCACCACCACAGACCACCACCACACCACCACCACACCACCACCAACCATCACCACCACAACTCACCATCACCACCACAACCGCAAAAAACCCACCACAACTACCACCACCACCACCACAATCTACCACACCACCACAACCACCACCACCGCCACAACCACCACCACTACTAGCAGCACAACCCACCGCCAGCACCACAAACAACTACACCGCCACCACCACCACCAACCACCACCGCCGCCACCACCACCACCACCACCACCACCTCCACAAACCACCGCCACCACCACAACCCACCACCACCACCACCAACCACCACCCCCACCGCCACCGAACACCACCACCACAACCCACCACCACCACCACCAAACCAGCACCACACCACCACCAAACCACCACCACCACCACCACACAACACCACAACCACCACCACAACCACAACAAACCAACACACCACCACCACCACCACAACCACCACCACCGCCACCACCGCCACCACAACCCACCACCACCACCACTGCCGTCCTCGTCGACGCTCCCCGCCGCCGCCGCCAGCCGCCGCCGACGCAAGCGCCGGCCCGAGGAGAGGAGGGGAAGCAGGGGAGGAAGGGGAAGGAGGGGGGCGTTCGAACCCCCCCCCACGCCCTCCGTCCCCCACCCCCACCCCCTCCGTCCTACCCCCTCCGGGCCAAAATCGATATCGAATCGGATCGATCGATCGGATCAAACGGGATAACGGGATCCGAAGCCGAATGTGTTCGAGAAGATCGTCTCCTCTGAGGCCTCAGACCGTGTGTTAGCGCAAACCAGTGCCAGTCTATCGAAGCCCTTCTGCTATTCCATACAGCGCGGGCGCTGCGAGGAGAGCCCACACAGCGGAACCTACAGGAGCAGGAGGAGAGGTAGAATGGAAAAGGACAAGAGAAGTAGGAGTCGTCTACTGTAGATTTCACTGGCATCACCAAACAATGTGCTGGCACGGGAAAAACTACGAGCTGTCGTTCCGTCACCGTCTACGCCCCCAGCTGTCCAGCAGGAAATGGCCACCCCCACGCAGCTCATTTTACGGGCTGCCCCGGGGCAGCTCCAGAGACTCCATGTTGGCGCAACCCTTGAGCTGCGCCGCGAGGGGCGGCGAGGGAGGCAGAAGGAGAGAAGAGGAGGGGGGAGGACGGGGGGAGAACGCAGCACGGAGGGAAGGCCACTCGCCTGGCCGTCGCTTCCAGGGGGGACCCAGCGGGGAGCCGGGCGGCGAGCCGGCACCCGACCTCGGAGCAGGCCTGGGGCCCTCCCTCCCAGCGGTGCCCGTGAGCGTCACGAGCACCGGCATCACCCCCCAGGGGGAGCCCCCAGGGCTCAGGGTGGAGTCGTGGGCGGCCCCGATCCCCGGCACTCGGGCCCGTCCCGCCCCGCTGACGAGGGGAGGGAGGGAGGAGCAGAGCGGGGAGGGGAGGAGAGGAGGGGAAGGAGCAGAGCGAGGACCGAGGGCTGACGCGAGGAGGGACGGGGCGCGACGAGCGAGAAGATGCGAAGTCGTCGTCGTCGTCGAACGACGACGACATCGAATTTTCTCGCGAAGCCGCCGTCGCTCAACGACGACGACCTCGCCAGGAGACGAGATCCCCTCCCATTTCCTCCTTCCTGTCCGTCTCCCTTTCCTCCTCCCTCGCCTATCCACTCTTCCCTCCCTCGCCTATCCACTCTTTCCTCCCTCGGCTCCCCCTCCCCCCCCCATCCACCCTAGCTCCTCCTCGTGGCGCACTGTGGCGATGCAGAAAGATTCACAGGGGAACAATGAAACAAGCTGTGTTGCTTGCTGCCGCTGGAGTTTGAAGGAGGATCACAGAACTCAATGACGACAACTCCCATGAGCAGGCCTGGAGCCCAGTGTCTCAAGAATCGCCCAGGGCGCAGCTGCGTGACAGGCCACCCCAGGCATTGATGAATCGCCATCCTATATTGCGCCTGGTCCTCCCCTCTGCTCATCCTCGTCCTCATTCTTACCATTGATCGTCATGGTCAGAATCATCACAACCATCCTTCTGCTTATATTCTTCCTTGCAATGTCTGGACTGATTGCGCAGAACACCAGAGAGGGCACAAGTCTCATCCGAGCGCAACCCGTGTTCCATGCACCAAAAGGGCGTGAAACAAAATTGCCAACACACACACACACACAAAGCACCCTAGATGCTGCAAGGCCGACGTATTATCAGACCTGACTGTACTCCCCGTACTGCTCCTCCCCCCATTCTCGTCATTCGTCGTCATGGTCAGCATCACCACTATCGTCGCTCTCCCTGCACAGATGATCATCATGGCGCGTGGCAGCGCCGACGCGCGCCTGCCCACCGACGCCCTTCCACACGGCGCGGGCGGTGCGATCAGGGCCGGCACAAGTGGCGTGCTATCAGTGGAGCTGAACGGGGTTGTCAAACATAGGGTGAACTCACGCCCCGAGGATCATCGACCGTGGACCTCGCGAGGAGAGACGGCGAACCCCTTTCTCCCCCAACCCCACCCCTCCCTGGCTCTCCCCCCAAACCCTGCTCCTGTTCCTCCTCGCCCTCCTGCTTCTCGTCACTCGTCGCCGCGGTCGGCAACGTCACCGCCGCCCCCTCCTTCTCCTCCTCCTCCTCCTCCTCCTCCTCCTCCTCCTCCTCCTCCTCCTCCTCCTCCTCCTCCTCCTGCGTCCCGACGGGCCTTCACGTAGGGAGGTCTGCCCAGGAAAGGGGGGGGCTGGCTCCCGGGCTCCGAGGTGGCGCCGCGCCGGGCCTTCCCCTCGCCTCCGCCCCCCTTGTCCCCCGCCTGCATCTCCTCCTCCTCCTCCTCCTCCTCCTCCTCCTCCTCCTCCTCCTCCTCCTGACTGTTCCCTCTCCTCCTGCCTCCTCCTCCTTCTCCTCCTCTTCCTCCTGATGCCCGATTCCTGATTCCTGATGGCGTGGAGAGTCGATGATTGTCGTCGATTGCCGCCCCCACCAGGGCCGGTCGGCCCTGGGGGTGTGATCAAACTAAACAGCCTGGCCACGATAGGAATTGGCTATAGCACACATATGCAAAGTGAGAGCAAGGAGGACAGACAGAGGGAGGGAGGAGGGACCTAAATCAGGGAAGGACGACAGACAGGGAAGGACGACAGACAGACGAAACACCAAGAACCTTTATCATGACCTCGAGGGAGAGGGGACGAAGACAGGGAACTGATGCGTCGGCTGTGGCTGCGTGCAGCGGCGGTGTGGAAGATGACTGGGGCCATGGGGCCCTTCAGCGGGTCCTCCCCCTCACGGGTCAGCTGGCCCTGTGGCGCCAGCGCTGGGGGGGGTGCACCCTGGGCCCCCCTCCAAGTGCCCAACTTGAAGGCAGAGGATGAGGGAAACGACGGGCGGCATTCCGCGCGGCTGAGGCAAGGAAAGGCGTGGCGAGCGGGACAAGGGTGAGAAGGTGGTGGCGGCCGCTGACTGGCTGAGGATGTTGAGAAGGGGTGCACCGAGTGGAGGCTGACAAGACATGGGGCTGCCTTCAGCGTCGGCGCTGCAGGGGGCAGGTGTGAAGCCGCTGGTCGGCTTGAGGAGGGGCGGCGGAGGCTGTGGCTGGCGTGGCAAGAGTGGGCGGCGCTGGCTCTGCCCACCCACGGACAGGGGCCGCTGCACCTGCTCATAGGAAACCCCCGCACGCGCCCCCGAGGCGAACGGCGGGAAGCCTCGCTTGCAAGCAGGCGTGAGGCTCCTGGCACGTATGCCTCGCGGCCGCCGGGGGGGGGGGGTCCACCGAGCGTGATGGAGGTTTGCGCCGTCCTGCTGGTGGCTGGTGTCACGCTCGCCTGGGGATTGTGGCCGGCCACACTCGCCGAATGGGAAGGCATACAGGCTTCTCCCCCTGCACATGGGAAATCCCCCGAAGCGCCCCCCCTACCCGCGACTGTTACCCTCCCCTGCCGAGCAGGTGTAGCTTACCCAGATCGCGGAGGTGTGGGCCGCTCTGGGGATTTCCACCGTGCGTGGGAGAGGTTTATGCTTTCCGTGGCAGCGGCGGGCGAACGCGGTCCCATCCACCCCTCCGTAGTATCGACAACCCATCCTCCCGCTGATGATGTGGCAGGCGATCGAGGTCGCGGCTGCGTGAGGCGCATGCTGAAACGCAGGGTGTTGCCTAGTCGCCACAGTTCTCCTCCTCCTCGTTTTCCTCTTCCTCTGCCCTTCATCCTCCGCCGCCATCCCTTCCTTCCTCCCTCCCTCCCTCCTTCCCTCCCTCCGCCCTCCCTCCTGCTCCTTCTCCTCCTCCTCCTCCATCCCGTTCCCTTATGAATAACTCCTCCGTGTGACACCCCAAGACGTGTCTAGGGCGGGCCAGGCGATTCGCCTCAGACTTCTTCACCATTCACGATCCTGAAATTGTAAATCTGCAACGGTAGGGCGGCTTGTTTTCAAAATATTGTTCTCACCCTAGCGCCGCGCACATTCGTCTAGAAAGTTTGAAGCAGCTTCAAGGATGGAGGGCAGCTCGTTTCAAAACCTTCAGAATGGAGGGCGATTCCTTTTCAAAATGCGGCTCCCGCCTGAGCACTGCGTACATTCGTTGAAAAGTTCGAAGAAGTTTCCAGGATTCGTAGGGTTGACATTATGACACGATTGATGTTCGTCAGGACCGAACAGTCCCGTTGATTTGCCGTGAAGTCCCAGGAAAAGTGTGATGGCACGACTTGGGATTGTTGGGACACAACTGACACTTTCTTCCGCGGCGTTGAATGCCAAGAACTGTCTTTCGACACATTATTGCAGGGGCCTGTGACACGGGAACTTGGAGGGAGGGTTGTTGCAAGATCGTTACTGCATCTTGTGTTTACACTGATTATCCTCATCCTCTATATCTAGAGGCAGAAAAAAAACTGCATAAACATAAACTTTTGGCGCTCCGCGCGAATTGCTTGGATGCGTTGGGCCCCCCTCCCTGGCGTGCGGAGCGCGCCAAGGGCGGCGCCGGAGGCGCCGCCGGGGGGGCCCAGCGCGGATCCAAGAAATCCGCGCGGAACGCCAAAAGTTTATGTTCATGCCGTTTTTCCCTCTTCGAACGTCCTCCCGCCCCCCGGCAGGGCGCTCCGCGCCTTGGCCTGCAGGTCCGAGATCATCTCGGGGCGGTCCGTTTCGCCCGCAGAGAGCGGCAGAGGCACACGGTCGAGCTCGGTCGGAGGAGGGGCGCGCGAGAGGGTGCACGGCGCTTCCGAGGGCCACGCTGCCCCAGGAGCGCAGAGAGTGACTGCCTACCAGACCACCCCAAACCAACCCGAAGACCCGAAGTGCGGGTTGGGGGGGGGGGTAGGGCTTCACATGTGTTTTTTCGGTGTGCCCCGTCCCGCCCCCCCACACTCGAAATGGAGGGCAAGTCGAGGCCTTCGGGTTGGGTTGGGGTGGTTCGGTGGGTGGTGGGAGAGCATGGAGCGCGATACGCAGGGCACGAGCAGGCAAGTCCGTCCAGAAAGTTGCCCGCGAGGGGCAGGACCTCCGATGATGCGCATCCCGTGCGCACGAGGACGGAAAAGCTTGCTCTGCGTGCTTGCCGCCCACTGCGCAGACTGCATCGAGCGGTTCTCCTATTCGATCATGTACAAAGGAACCCTTGATTTGGCAGGTCGACCCAATAGCCAAACTCGACTGTAGACTTTCCGAGGTCCGCGCGGACATCCGAAAGTATGTTTCAGTACTCGGTTTACGGATGACTTTGACATCAACGGCTAATGACCTTGGTCAAGGGGCAACAGTTGCAATGACCAGTTAGTAGTGCATGAAGCCAGGCACACTTCTGCTGGCAATGTCGGGAAGAACGCGGGACAAGTCTGGGCAGGCAGTGCTGAAGTGCGAGCAGGAGCAGCAAGCCGTGCTTGACAAGCCATAATACAAAGGCACCTTCTGAGGGGCCGACACTGCCGCGGAAGCTCACGTGCCCCGTAAAAGCACGCACACCGAGTCGCGCATCACATAATCGAAATGAGTATCGAGACCTGCTGGGTCGGGTTAGGCCTGTCGAGGAGCCGGGGCGAAGTCCGCGTCTTTCCGAGCGCTGCGTCGGCCTCCCATCGGCTATGGATAAGCCGAGGGCGGAAAACAACATCCCCCGATAAGCACCCCACAAACGAAACCCAGCAGGAAACGCATGTACGGAACCGGCTGGCAAACGCAAATTACAGTAGGGGCCCGACCACAAGAAACCTTCCACAAGAAACCCAACTCTGAGAACACAGGACGTCTGTCGACGCTTGGTGTGGGAACGTCACGCTTTCCATTGCAAGACCATCGAAACCCAAGAAACCCAGGGCACCCTGGAGGCAAGCAGGGTGTTTCTTGGCATGGGCCCCGACTGTATGGGGACCGGGTGCTTTTTTCGGACCAGTTCCCCATCCTTTGAATAAGGGAAGAGGGTGGGGCATCAGGGGGACAAGAAAGAGAGAGCCCCTCCTGGTGCCGACCCTTCACATCGCGCGCGCACGCCCCGGCCCGGCCCTACCCGCCCCCCGTCCCGCCCATCCTCCTGGCGAGGATCAGTCAGCACCGAATCGAAACCTCTGATAGAATCGACACGGGGTCGAAACCGAGACGGATTGACTGCGCCAGGACGCGCAATAACCCCATGCGCGCATCGGGCTGCATCGGATCGTCCGATCATCTGAATCGGATCGGATATTCTCCGCCTCCATCACCACTCCCTCCTCCTCATCATCCTCCGCCCTCAGCGCCCCCGCACCCCGTCTCAGGGGCATCTGGAGAAGGTATCCTGTGGGTCCTCTAATGGGGGTCGGGCTCTTGGTCATGCCAGTGGCCATGAAATGCAGTGGCACGATTGCACAACCGATGGTTCAGAGTCAGAGTCGGAAGCCTCCTCTGACCCTTAGGTCGGGAATTTCCCCCTACAGGCGGATTTCGGGCGGGAAATTAAAAAGTCAAGACATTATCAAAAGTTGTCAAGAAGATGGTAGAAAAATCGTCCCCAGACTGTGTTTTAACTATGTTTGAATATTCCTCCTGTTGAGGGACACGCCCGACTTAATCTTACCCCCCTCGGCACATACGCTCCCACGAGCAGATTCGGTGCCAGCTGCATGTCTGGCAAAATCAGTGCGAAAAGCGCTTCTCCCCCTCTCTCTCTCTCTCTCTCTCTCTCCCCTGATTACCTACCAGACCACCCCAACCCAACCCGAAGACCCGAATGTGACCCGAATTTCGGGTTGGAGGGGGGTGCGGGTTCCATGTGTCTTTCAATGTTCCCCGACCCCCCCCTGGAAATGGAGGGCAAATCGAGGCCTTCGGGTTGGGTTGGGGTGGTTTGGTGGGTGGTGATCCCCCTCCTCCTCCCCCATCGATCCACACGCTCCCGAGGGGCAACGGCCAGGGGCGGCTGGCTGAGGGGAGGGAATGTCGACCTGAAACTCGGAGATGCATCGCCGATGGATCGCCGATGGGCCCTTTTGATGGCGAAACCCATGGTTCCCAGACGGGGTGGGCAACCAGGCCGCTATCCACGATGAATGGGCGATCGAGGGTCGATGCAGTCCCACCTGGGCAATCTACCCCCCTAGCGCCCGAGCTCCCCTGGGCAGATGCGAGCCCACTGCACGCAGGCAAACGGGACGGAGGAGCGCTCCTCCAGGACCTTGCCGATGGGCGACGCTTTCTCCGCCGCGGCGGCGCCGAGCAGCGCCAGGGCGAGCAGCCTCACGGAAGCCATCCTTAGCAAGGCCCCCCGAGGGGAGGCGAGACGGCCGCGAGAAGACGACGACGACGACGACGACGACGACGACGACGACGACGACGACGACAGCGAGGACAAGGACGAGGACGACGAGGACGAAAACGACGACGAAGACGAGGACGAGGACGAAAACGGCGGCGGCGGTGGCGGCGGCAGCGGCGGCAACAGCGACGACAACGACGACGGGCAGTCCGGCCTGGCGGAGGAGCTGCCTGGGAGAGAACGAGATGGAGGCTCGGGGCGGGGGAGAGCGGTGGGAGGAGGGATTTTTGGGATCGCGCACGTGCTGAACAATCTGGCTGTCATGTAAAGGCGGCACTGCAACTAACAGAGTGCATATAAAAGTCATCTGCACGGGCACCAAGTGAACAAGTCAGCGGTGGGAGGAGGGAGGGAGGGAGGCGGGAGGGAGGCGGGAGGGAGGGAGGGATTCAGAAGGGCGCCGCATCGCCGATGCATCGGCGACGCATCGGCGATGCATCGGCGATACATCGGCGACATCGGGGGTGCATCGGCGCAGCCAGCGTGGAGAAAATCCGCCGACCCTGTCGGCGTGTGTGAAGGGCTTGTCTGTTCGAGTAGTCGTCTCTGTCAGTCGTCGTCTCCGTCGTCTCCTCTCTCTGCACCCTCCTCGAGCTCGTCAGCGAGAGGAAAATCTAGCAATGTCGTAATCGAGTCAAAGGGAAGTCCCTTCCCTTTGATCCCTCCCCCGTCGGGGGGGGTCCCGGAGGGGGGTCCCAGGGAGGGGTCCCGGGGGGGGGTCAGATACGCATCCCCCCCTCGGGGGCCCCGGGGCCTCAGAAAGTACCACGACAGGCCAAGAGTGCCCCAAGAGGCCCCCGAGACGGTCCAAGATGGTCCCCCGTCGGTAAACGATCGGTCCAAAACGCCTTCACGCCCTCCAGACTGCCCAGGAGGCCTCCAGGACGCCGGTTGACGCCTCCAAGAGCACTCCCGAGAGGGACCCAAGAAGCCAAACTCATTGAATTTCCAAAAAAAATTGTAAGTTTGGGAGGTCTCGCCTTTTCCCCACCGCTCCAAAACGGCGCAAGAGGCCCCCAAGATCGCTCCAAGACGGCTCAAAAGGCCTCCAAGAGGGCCCCGAGACAGCCCAAGAGGACCCCAAGACAGCCCAAAACGCTCCCAAGACGGCCCAAGAGGCCCCCAAGACGGCTCCAAGAACGTGCCCAGACGGGGGACCCGAGCGGACATTTTGAGCCCTCGGCCCCAAGAGGCTCCCAGGAGGCCCCAAGAGGTTCCCAAGAGGCCCCAAGAGATCCACAAGAGGTCCCCAGGAAGCCCGACGAGGCCCCCAAGAGGCTCCCAAGAGGCCCCCACGAGGCTCCCAAGAGGCCCCAAAATTCCTCCCCAGAGGCCCCCGAGAGACTTCCGAAGAGACCCCAAGAAGCATCCCTGAGGGCTCTGGCCCACGTCAGCGTCGTCGTCGTCGTTGCCGCCGCCGCCGCTGCCGTTGTCGCTGTCGTCGTCTCCCTCCAGGGTCGGTGGCACCAGCCATACGACCTTCGCAGTCGGGCTCCACATCGAGCGGCATCGCCGATGCATCGGCGATGCGGCGGGATCCTCCCACCCCATTTGCTCGGGCCCCATGGGGAGGCCTAGAGTGAAGGGGCCCCAGGACACACAATTAATATACACAAATAAAAATATTCCCCATATTTTCCCATATTTTCTGGGTTTCTGTCTTCCCCCCCACTTCCCATATTTTCCCATATTTTCTGGGGAATCGAGGATTAATTGTGTCTGTGTGTTTTTTCCTCTCCTGATAGAGACCGGCCCGATGCCCTCGAGCCTGCCCGCCCTTCCTGCTGGCCTAAACAGGTGCCGGGCCACCTCAGACCCCCAAACTGCTCCGAACATCCACCCGTGCGGCAGGCTCGCGTCATGTCGGCCCCGGCGTTGGTTCCTGACACCACGGGGATCGTTCAGCCGAAACGCCAGATCGTTCAGCATCGACCGATTCTGGGTCGCCGGCAGCGTTCAACGCTGAACGCCAGCGGCGGCTTCGAGGCCGACCGACACGATACGAACCTACCGCTGATGGAACCATAGCTATCGTCAGCTGGTAAGCGTTTTCTTATTCGGCGTTTCGACATTGGGAGCAAAGGGGGGGGAGGGTGGGCTTGGTTCCGGACCTCTGCTTCATGCGACTGTTTGATGCAGTGCGTCCTATGAGGGAGACTCCACCTGCTTGAAACAGGCGCCAAAAAAACAGGGGCCAACAAAAACAGCCAAAATCCACTCCGGGGGGGGAAGGGGGGTGCGAGGGCCCGCGCCGACCGGCCAAACAAAGAATAAAAACGATCGCCTGCTGGCCCGCCTCGATCCAGGGAATCGAAGGGCTCAGGGCCCAGGGCACCGTGCGCGCGAGGGAGCGCACGCCCCACTGCCCTCGGGGCGTGCACCCGCCCCGCCCGCGCCCGCCTCCGCGCCCCGCTCCCCGCCCCGTTCCCCCGGGGCGCACGACGACGACGGCGACGACGACGGCGACGGCGACGACGGCGACGACGGAGGCGGCAGCGGCGGCGACGGCGCCGCCGCCGGCGCCGGCGCCGCCGCCGGCGCCGGCGCCGGCGCCGGCGCCGGCGCCGGCGACGGCGACGGCGACGGCGACGGCGACGGCGACGGCGACGGCGACGACGACGACGACGACGACGACGACGACGACGACGACGACGACGACGACGGCGGCGGCGGCGGCGGCGACGGCGACGGCGGCGGCGGCGGCGGCGACGGCGACGGCGACGGCGGTTTAGCAGGTGAGGAACGGTACAACTTAAACTGCGCCGCCGTCGGGGCCGCCTGCCCCATGGCGGCTGGAAAGCTTGCACCCCGACATGCCACCGTGGGGGGTATAAACTGTCTAGCCGCCCCTTGGCTGGCGTCCCTGCCGGCAGAAACAGAAATATGTCATGCCGTCCTTCGCCCGCGAAGCGGCGGCGACGCCCAGGACTGCACCCGCCGCGGCCTCGGAGGTGCTGGCCAATGCGAGATGCGCCTATCTGGCACGGGAGGACTGACCCAGCAAAGCACTCTGCTAGCAGCAAAGACGATCCCTTGCACAAGCAAAAGATGCCCCAGCTGAGTACTCCAGCAAAACTCAGCCCCTGGGGGCTCTTTTCGGGCCCCAGGACCCTCAAACATGGATCCGGGACGAAAAACTACCCCCCGGGAAGCGGTCGGGACCACTTGGGCCGCGGATGAAAATCACCCCAGCAAAGCACCCTAGTGGCAGAAAAGGTGAGGATGCGGGTTGAAGAGTAGGAGGTCTCATGTATGGGGACAGGGGTGAGAGCGCGACCACGTGCGCCTGAAAAGTTTCTGGGACCCAGGATCGTGGCCTTCCGCACCAACAGTGCAGCTGGTACTGAGGCGAGAGCACGATTCCGGAACAGAGCGTGGAGAAATCTCGGGCGAAGCAGCTGCCGGACCGGGCGATCTGGAGCCTCCCCGCTCCCACTGCGGACTCTTCTGTGGCCCCTTAACGTACCACGATCAGGCTCCTCGGACGAAAACCCCATGAGGGGAAGAGGCCCTGGCGGCTCGAGGGGGCGCAAGCCAGAGGAGGAGCAGAGACCACCGACACCAAGAGCCCATTGGGGAGAAGGCAGGACAGGGGCAGAGGTGGGGCCATAGGGGACAGAATCGCTCCAGGCGGCCCCTGGAAGAAGGAAGCGTGATCATCCAGCTGGGCTCGCTCCTGACCCCACCTTGGGATAGCCCGCCGTTTCTGCGAACCCCCGAGAAAGCTACGTGCACGTCTGGCGAAGGCCCGAACGGCGAGGAGCCACTTGGCGCTGCCCCCCTTCATGCCAGTGGCGCCAGCCCGATCCGGTTCGATCTTGATGTGCCGACGACCCGATGCAGCCCGATGTCTGCATGGGGCTCAGGGACACGCAAATAAATAGATGCAACTTCCAGGATTCCCTGGATGTTCGTCTTCCCCCCCCACCACTCCTCATATTTTCGCATATTTTCCTGGGGATCCGCGATTATTCCCCAATCAGAGCTTGCCGCTGTAGGGGTCCTAGCGGATTCATATGGTTAGGTGAGCTGTGTCGCCGATCTCGGTGGCCGGGCCCGGTGCCCCGGTGCCAGGTAGCCCCATAGCCCTATAGCCCTAATAATCCTGCAGCCCTACAGCCCAATAACCCTACAGCCCTATAGCCCTATAGCCCTAATAACCCGATAGCCCTATAGCCCAATAGCCCTATAGCCCTGTAGCCCTATAGCCCTATAGCCTTATAGCCATTTAGCCCTGTAGTCCTGTAGCCCTACAGCCCTGTAGCCCTATAGCCCAATAGCCCAATAGCCTTATGGCCCAATAGCCTTGTAGCCCTATAGCCCCGTAGCCTCATAGCCTTATAACCCTATAGCCCTATAGCCCTATAGCCCTATAACCCTATAGCCCTAAAAAATCAGTTTGGGTCTTTTATCCAGTATCATTTGTGTCTGTGTCATGTTTCACTCCTGACTGTTGTGCACGCTTCGGGGATCCCCAAACGGTGAGATAACCACTGCGTGTGGTGAGCCAGTGGGGATTCGGGGTCACCGCACAGTTCTGGGACTCGGGTTGTTCTCCCGAGGACGTCTCGGGCGACTGGGCATCCGAAGTCCCAGAACCATGCGGCGACGTACCGCGCGGTGAGGTCGCTGGGCATTCCGAGGTCGCCACGCGGTCCGTCACCACACGGTCTCGGGGTCCCCGAACCCTGGCGTGGCCAAAACGATCCGATTCCAGCTCCGTGACGATGCGGGCCGATCCGACGAACATCCCGACCCAATTCGTAAGAGCAGCTTCCAGGGAGCAGGAGGAGGAGGAGGAGGAGGAAAAGCAGGAGAAGGAGAAGGAGGAGGGGGAGGAGGAGGAGGAGGAGGAGGAGGAGGAGGAGGAGGAGGAGGAGGAGGAGGAGGAGGAGGGAGGAGGAGGAGGAGGAGGAGGAGGAGGAGGAGGAGGAGGAGGAGGAGGAGGAGGAGGAGGAGGAGGAGGAGGAGGAGGAGGAGGAGGACGAGAGAGGAGGAGGAGGAGGAGGAGGAGGAGGAGGAGGAGGAGGAGGACGAGGGGGAGGAAGAGGGGAGGAGGAGGAGGAGGAGGAGGAGGAGGAGGAGGAGGAGGAGGAGGAGGAGGAGGAGAAGAAGAAGGCGGAGGAGACCTGCACAGGGGGGAGCATCGACCCCCCCGATCGCCAACTCGTTGCCAATCGGGACCTGGGCTCCCCACCCCGCCCAGGAACGCGCGATCTCGCTGCCAGGGACCCATGGCTAATCCATCGGCGATGTGTCGCCGATTGCAGGTCATCGCCGACTGGGAAGGGATTGGTGGGAACGGTTGGATGTCAGATATGGCGCGAGTGCACCTAGCTTGTGGTTCCCCTCTCAGCTCTCCTCACGTGCGGGCGCAACGGATCCGTTCGGGAGGCTGCCCTCACGCGGCCGCGCGGTTCGCATCAATGCCGCCCCTCCCCTTCCCGACTCCGCCTTCCCAAGCATTCGATGTCTTGAGTTTCCCCTATCAGTGCTTGCACTGAAGGGGTCCAGCGGAAATTGAAAAATTTGGCGAAATTGTCCCGCCGAATTTGGTGACCGTCTGGGTTCCCCTATTCCTGGTTCCCGGGTTCCTGGTTATTGGTTCCGGGCCGATTTCGGTGGGTTCCTGGTTCCCGGGTTCCCTGTCGATCTCCTCATCGATCAAACCATCCACTGATTGGCGTTTTTCTCTGGTGTAATTTTCTCCCCCCCCTCAGCCAGGCCCAATTGCCACCATCCACAATTTCTCGTTTCCGGCGCCAATGGCCACAATCCAGTGTCTTTCTCCTTCCCTCTTCTCCTGCACGCTTCCCGTCCGAGCGCAAGGCCACCCGCCGCCCAGCCCTTGCACAGTGGCTGCATCCTGGCGCGCTTGCATTCAGAACTCCATGTTCCATATGTTTCTTGGCCTTCGCTTCACACAGATCAATGCCGACGCGCCGCCCAGGCGCGGCTTCTTCAGCGCAGCTCAGCTCAGACAGGCCCACCCCGCCAACCCCCCGCAGCGCTGCAGACCAGGACTCCGCAAGCCTCGGCGAGGGGGGTAGGAAGAGCGGACACTGCCTCGACGCTTGACAGCAGCTGCCTTGGGCGTGCCAGCGTCTTTGATGGGCCCCTTTTCCACCACCACCACCATAAGTTGGAGGGGGAGGGAGTCCTCCTCCTCCTCCACCTCCTCCTCCTCCTCCTCCTCCTCCTCCTCTTCGTCCTTCCTCCTCGTCCTCCTCCTCCTGCCCCCCTCCAACCAATGGTGGCGGTGGAAAACAAGCCCATCAGTCTTGGATTCTTGGGCGTTGCTTAATGGGGGGGTCACAAATGGGGGGGTCAGAAAAGGTCCCCTTTCGTGCCCCTTTCGGGCCCCTCCAGAGCCCCAGGGGGCTCGTTTAGGCACCGTTTGGGTACCTTTTCGGGCCACCCTCGCCGCCCCCCCATTTATGACCCCCCCATTACGCAACGCCCAAGATTCTCGCCGTGGGCTTCAACCGGACATCCACGTTTGACCAAAAGTAAAAAGGCAGCCAAGGCGCCAGGGATTACACGGGGTTCCCCAGCAGTCGGGGCCGCGGACGAAGCGATCACCTTCCTCCTCCTGGATCGGCCCCATGTCCAACCGAAACGGCGGGCGACGGCGAGGGAGGTCACACAAAAACCGGCCCCTCACGTGCAAGCACCACGAAAGCGTAGGAGACCCCTGCTTCCAGATACGATCGCCCGACCGCCCACATTCCCTCGATGTAGTTCGGAGGCCTGGCTGAGACTAGCAAGCGCGCCTTCGGTGGCAACTCATGGGGCCCTATCATGCCATCTCGCTGGCTCTTGCGAGTCGACGCTAAACGCCGCTAGTGCACGCGAATCAACGCGTGTCGTCAATAAATTGACCCCAAATCGACGCTCATCGACGCTAAATCGGCGCTGACTCATCGATTACCCGACGCTAAACGACGCTGACGCACTCTAGAAATGGAATTACGAGGGTATTGAAGGCTTCCAAGATTTGCTACCGAACCCCAGCGGCCACGCTAAGCCGCGGACTTCGTTGCGTCAGAAGTTGTCAGCCCCGCAGCTCCGAAACTGAGCACAGGCCGCCCGACTTGAGTCTGTACGGCTTGAGGAGTCGGGCTGCGGCGCCGAGGAGATCGAAGGAGAACAGAGCAGGCGCACGGGACCTCGTGCAGTGGAGTCGGAGGGCTGCAAGAGAATCGCGGTCCCTGACTCCCGGGCAGGAACAATCAATATCGAATCGGGAAATCGGATCGGATCGGAAGGTGCATCGAATCGGGCCGCAGCGGCACAGAGTCGGAAGCGACTGGAGTCGACGGCGCCAGGAGGCACAACAGCGCCATGCAAGCATCGGGCTGCATCGGATCGCCTGAAAGTCGGAATCGAATCGAATCGGGCCAACCCGAGCCGATGTGGAACCGTATCGATCAGATCGAAATGGGCCCCGGCAGCGATGATGTTGTCGTTCTGTCTATCTTTCTCTCTCTCTCTTTCTCTGTCTCTGTCGCTCTCTCCCTCTCTCCCTTTCGTCTTTCTCTCTCTCTCTCTCTCTCTCTCTCTCTCTCTCTCTCTCTCTCTCTCTCTCTATATATATATATATATATATATATATATATATATGTATTCCTCTTCCTATATTTTTATAAGCCCCGGCGGGGGGAAAACCTGTCACCCCCCCAAAAAAAACCGGACTCCCCGGATCTGGGGCTTTGGGACCCTCCAGACGGGCCTCGAAGCGGCCACCGGGCCTCACATGGCGTTTTGCCAAGCCTTCCCAGCACACCTAGGGCGATCAGGGGGGTCATCAGAGACGTCCCAAAGACCCCAAAGACAGCACAAGAGCGCTCCAAGAGTGACCGACGTGACCTCAAGATGGCCCAAGAGGCCTCCAGGACGGCCCCAAAGAGGCCTCCAAGAGCACTCCCAAGAAGGCCCCCCGAGGCAAAAATCCATGATTTTCTATTGGTTTTTGGTAAATGTTACGGTTCTCCTCTGTTCGGCTTCCCGACGCTCCAAGACGGCGGTCTTCTGGGCGTCCGAAGCCGCCTGGGAGGCTCCCAAATCTCCCCACAACCATCCGAAAGGGCTTCCAGGCAGTCCAAGAAAGCCCCAAAACGGCACAACACGGGTCCAAGATGGCCTTCAGAGAGCCCCATGGCGCCCCAAAATGGCCCAAAGACACCCTCCGAAGAATTCCAAATCGTGATTCGGTCGTTCAGGGAGACCGCAGTTGGAGGCAGGGTGGCCCGAGGAAGCCCCCAGAGGCCCCCAGAATACGCCCAGAAGGTCTCCAGAAGGCCTTAAGAAAGCCTGAAACAGCTTTTGTGAGGCCCCTAGAGGCTCCCCAAGGAGGAGCCTCGGCAAAAGAGCTGAGGAGGATAGGGAGAATGCGCAGGGCATGGCGAAAAGAAGGAAAAATAAACATGGAGAAAGGATAACGAAAAACATTATTCTAGCGGCGATGCCAGAAAAGGCAACCAGGAATTATCGCTAAATTCTCGGTTTGACCTTCCTGCTATTCCGCCTTCATAACAAACTTCAAAGACGAAGGTGTATGGCGCGAATCGCCACTGCAGTCTTGTGTATATATATATACACACACACACACACACACACACATATATATATATATATATATATCCCTCCCTCCCTCCCTCTCGCGCCCACTCCATGCTTCTGCCTGCCAATGTTTGTTGTCTCTCTCTCTCTCTCTCTCTTTCTCGCTTTCTCTATGTCTCTCTCTCTGTCTCTCGTTCTCTCTCTCTCTCTCTCTCTCTCTTTCTCTCTATCTCTCTCTCCCTCTCTCTCTCTCTCTCTCTCCTCTCTCTCTCTATATATATATATCCTCTCTCTTAATATATATATATATATATATATATATATATATATATATATATATATATATATATATATATATATATACACCATATTTATCCCTCTCTCTCTCGACTTCTCTCTCTCTCTCTCGTTGTCTCTCCCTCTGTCTCGCGCCATGTGTATTTATACTGACATGCATACATACATGTGTAGTTACATGTATGCACGTGTACACTGATATACATATATACACAACTACGTATACACAAACGTATACATATACCTTTGCATATGCAATTATATACACATATACAAATACAAATGCACATTCATATACATATGCATATACGTATACATATGAATAGACATATACATATGCATTGTCATATCAGTAGACATGCACGTATACCTACACATATACATATACACATACAAATACATGTATATAAACATACACATGTGCATATACGTATAAAAATATGTACATATATACGTAGACATCTACATATACATATAGATATACATACACATATACATACATATACATACATATACATAGACATGGACATACACATATACATATACATATATGTGTACATATACACATACATGTTCGCATGCATAGACATATAAACATATACATATGGACATACATACATACATATATATATGCGTGTGGATATACATAGACAGATACAATTACAAATACATAAACACATACAAACATATATACATATACACCTACATATGGATCCGCTGCCGCGCCTAAAGGCACGATGTGGAGTGCTCCCCAGGCTTCTTGAGCTCTCTGCACTCTCTATTTCAATACTGATATAATACGATGTGGGGCACGGGGGCCCAACATCTCAGCTGCCCCGGCGTTCTCGCGCTTTCCCGGCCATCCCCCCCATGACTTTTCCAGAGGCTAGGCTAGAAGGCCCCAAGACAGAGGCCTCCAAAAACCCTCACGCCCCCGCAAGAGGCTTCCAAGAAGGCGCAAGAGGCCCCCCCACGGCACATTCGCTCGCCCCCCGCCCCCCGCCCCCCCCCCCCCATCGAACGCACGTTGATTCCGGGTTCGAGACGCCGTCGAATGACCGATTCGCCCTAACAACCCAAATATCCAACCCAATTGCCCAACTCTGAATCCTTCGCACCCCAGTCCTGCCAGGAACTGCCGGGCTCCAACCTCTTCTGGAGCTGCTGCTAATCTCCCCTGGATGCTCGGCTCGCCTCGCCTGTCAAGCCGCTCGATAACGCGTTCTCGACGTTCTACGCTATCAGGTTTGCGGCGCGCGTCTCTCCGGGCTCCACGTCTGCCCCCATAGCGCCCCGGCGTCGGCCCCATGGCCATGCGCTCCGACATCTTCACTGTCACCGGAATTCTTCGCGCAACTAGTGGCCGGGCAACTGAAGCTAAACCTGGACTGGGAAGCGCCATCGGCATGATCTCCCTGGATTTAGCTTCCATTCCAAGCGCGGTTGGGCCTGGCTGCCAGGGTAAACCTTCCATCTTGCTACGCCCATGCACGCGCCGATCCCCACGTCACCCCCTCTGCGCCTGCGCTCGCGAGACGCGGCGACGCCCTCTGGAATGCCCACGATTCACCCCTGGCCGGTTCCATGCATTCCCAGAAATACACCACCACCACCTTGCTTTGAAGACCTTGCCCTCTCCCGGGGCGGCACGCGACGAATTCCTCAAACTTGGGCGACGGCGCCTTTCGCGGGCCGCCTCGCGACGAGGGCAGACGCGCGAGCCGCTCGCCAGGGTGAGAAGGCATGCCATTCACCGAAATCAGACTCACACGTCGTCAAGCGCATAATTGAACGTCCTGGCTGGACCTTCGGCTGCTCCGACTGCCAACTCAACTGCAACATTTGCTCGGGAGTCCCTGACCGGACAAACTCCCACCCTTGCGCCCAGGCCCCGCGAGGCTTCGACGGCGCCCTCGAGCGCCGCAATGGAAGACTGCCCACTGCTTCCGAGGATCATAAAATCCCCCTGGGCGAGAAAAATTCAGCAACACAAAAGCCGCGGTTAAGTATGGACACATGCCTCTGTTGAATGAACCGCGGCCACAGGGTAACTTTGCGCCCCAGCAGCAGTGCGCGACGATGATTGGGTTTCCGCTGCTTTCTTCCTCGCCGCCCCCCCCCCCCCCCCCCCCCGCCGCTTAACTATAGAATGCCAACTGACATCGCCGGCGCACCTTGCCCTGGCACCCTTAAATGATTCCTGCGGGACCCCCCCCGGCACTCCCTCCGGCGTCGCGAGGGCGCCAGCTTCGCACGGGCAAGTGAGCTTTATCGCACAACTCATCTCCTCGATATTCTCCTTCGGCTCGGTCACGGATCGCGAGCGGCCCCATCCAAGCATCTCGGCCCCCTCGCCGACAATTACATCTCCCGCGTCGCTGAACACACGGCCCCCGCCCTCCCCCTCGCCCCCGCCCCCCCCATCGCGCGATGAGATGTCGACTGGGGCCAACGGGGCCACTCGGACTCCGCGGCAGCCCTCACATACCATCGCGAACTCCCTCGACTTCCCTCGCCCTCTCCTGACCCGCAAACTTGCCGGGCCCGCGCGGCGAACTGGGCGGGAGTTGCTGGCCCCCCGTGGATTGCCATCTTCTGCCCCGTTGCCTCATGCCCGAGGTAACTGCAGGATCCCCCAACGTTCTAACACTACGGGCTGTCCTGTTTCTACCATTTCGCGCGCAAGCACGAATGCCTTTTGACGTCGGCCACCCGGGCGGGCATGCTCGCCATGGACCCCTATTCCGCACCCCACAACAACTCGTCGCCCACGGTTCCACCTGACTGATCCATTGGCTGCGCCGCAACGTCCACCGCCCCCGGAGGCCTCCGCGGGCGCGACTTGGAAGTGGGTTCCCAGGTTCGGGGGCCCAACCGCGCCGTTGGTCCCTGAGCCCACAACAACAGCTATCGCCTCCACGCCGCCCCCCCTGGTCCCTCGCCAGCACTCCACGGACTTCCTTGTCGGGCCCCTCCATCTCCAAACGTCACAGTCAGGCATGCATGCGCATCCAACTCTTCTCGTTCTCGAAGCACCCTGTGGTTCGGCAGCCCCAGTTGGCGCCACGGCTACAATTAACACTGCGCTCATGCGCCACGCACTGCCTCTTGATCCCTGACATCGCCCCCTCGCTCCTCCTCTTTTGTTTCCCGGCGCCGCGCCCCCCACTCCTGCGCCCCCTGAGAAGCCCCCAGCGCTGCGGCGTCGCCTGTAACTGCGCCAGCTTTAATGGCCTCGCCCATCTCGACCCCGCAGCATCCCA